CCCCAAAACCCCAAAACCCCAAAACCCCAAAACCCCTCTCAACTTCTAGCATATTGAAAATCATGGTGGATAATTTATATCATAAAAATTATTCCTTCATTGCTTTACTAGTCAGGCGTCTTTTCTCAAAGTACCAGCCTGCAAGCTTAGTTGCAATCATAAGTCCGAGACAGGTGAGAATAAGAGCTCCCTTGTTAAAGTCTTCACTGAGGACATCAAACTGCTTCTCTGGGGCAAGAGTAGTGTAGAACAAGTCGCTACCATAAGTAATTGAGAGGCAAGTAGACTCAATCTGACTTGGTGAGGTCTCAACCTTCTCCATTCCTTTCAAGTTATACTTATGAGAGATCATGCTGGATGGGTTGAAGTCTAGGTACGCATCGTATGTTGGAAGAAGATTATCGTCTAAGCTTTTGTCAACATCTACATTCAAGTTCTCCTTCATACTTTCTTCCAATGGTCTTCTTGGGGAAATAGAGAGCCCTTTAAGAGCATAAATCTGATCATTTTCAAGAATCAGGAGAATATCTTTTCCTGTGATTCCTTGCAAAGTTCTTGATATTCCTAATCCCTTAATGGTCTCTGGGAAAATAAAAGCTTGTTGGAGGATGATAGGCATTTCACCATACATGTCTGTAGAATTAACCCCCTTGACATAATCAACGATAACATCTCTCACATTGTGTCTAATGTTCTGTTCGAACAAATTAACAGTCTGAATCTGCTGAACACCTTCACCAAACTTGCCGATTCTCTCATAAGTAAGAATCAATGCATTTTCATCGAACAGGAGATTTATAGGAACCTCATGATTCACATTGATTTCGTAGAACTGGTGCACAATTCTTCCTGTAGTTCCTTCAATGATGTAGATGAATAGCCCATTGCTCTTCTCTGAAGCATATGTAGACTTAGTGGCAATGGCAAAAAGAGAAGGCTCAAGATATTTGAACAAAATACCTCCATTCAAGTTGCTAGCTCTCTGCGAATGGAAATGAGTCCTCTCAGGAATATACTTTGTAGAATAAGCTATGAGTTCTTGGTTCTCCATGGGAATTTTCCAACTTAAAGATAGGCATGATTCGTCTTTAGTGGAACAAGAATCGAAATCGAATAGCTCTCCTAATAATTCAAATCCACTATTGCCAATTTCTGAATCAACATTGATATCAACTTTGTGAACGAAGGAGTGAGTCATTGAAGCCATCCCGTTGAAGAAGTCTAGGTTGGTAGGGTCACTGTTGATCTTTGGGTTTTCAATTTTTGGATAGAACTGAGTCTTCATTTGCTTCTCATCAATGAGAAGAATTACTTCATGCAAAGAAGCAAGATGAAGCTTGAAACTGTGAGTAGTTTGATGTCCAGAGTACAATCTTGTATCCTTGATAGTTCCGGCGTACGGATCGACAGTGATCAAGAGAGTATTTCCTTGCTTTGTTGAAATTAAAACCACTGCTTCATTATCATCGCCTTCTTTCTCAATAAGATGGAAGTCACTGAAAGTAAGTTCATCTTTTTCATTTCTCAAGGATCCTGCATCTCTTAAGAATTTAGTGAAATGGAGTGTCCAGAGGAGTTGCCCATTGTTTGATTGAAGGCATACCAAAGTATCATGGTTCTTACTCAGTCCAATAATGAGCTTTTTGAATCCAAAAGTATCTCTTGTGTGCACATCATCTTTCTTAGAGAACAAATTTTCATTGAATACTAGATCTCCAAGTTTAGTCACAAATGAGAATAGTCTTTGGATGTGGAAGGTATATCTGCTCAAGATCTTCACTGGGACTTTGGCGATACTGTCCCCCATCTCATCCATCTTCTTCATAAAATCTGCAACGTCGTCATGATGAGTGAAAGATTCAGTAATATCAAGGAACTTGAACTTATCAATATTAGCTAAGGATTCTTCTCTCTTCCATTTTCTGTTGAATCCCTCTTTGCTAATGTAATGCAAGGAGAGATCTTTCATTTGAACCAAGAATGCTTTATCGTGAAGGAATACTCTCAAGATGTCCCCAGACTTTTGATAATTTACCTCATTCAAAGTTGCAACAAGCTCTCCCTTCTTGAATATATTCAAAGTAGCATCAGAAACCTTGAGCAGGAATGGGCTACCCAAGTTGTTGGATTTCGCAAATGGAGCAAAGATATTCTTAGATGTATGGGCTAGATCTCTGAAGGTAAGTCCCTCTACATCCTCCACTTTTTCAACACTTCCAGTGAAGTATACTTTGTTGAGGGATACAATAGATTTTCCTTCGAAGTCAGTAATAGCGAAGAACTTTCTTGTAGATTTGTACCATACTCTTGGGCCAAGTTTATCAGCAATCTTGATATTTTTGTTAATAACAGTAGCTTTTAAAGTCTCAGGGTCAATCTTGTACAGCTCATGGGATTTTCCATTGTGAGAGATTCCAATAAGAGCTCCGGAATGATCAACATTCAAACCAAGGTAGGAGGTTTCTTGAGACGCATGCTTCTTAGCATTGATGTATGCCAATGTTTCTCCCTCCTTTTCAGAGAAGACTATGATTGGGACTTTCTTTCCGTCATCCTTTACGACTAAGGCAGCATCTGAAATCGCGTTTTGAGAATTTAAGGATGTGACTAATTCACCTCTCCCAATAGTGAAAACCTGGATGGAGTTTTTACCTTTAATAAGAACGTAATCATCAAAGACTTTCATTGAGTGACACCCAGTATCAACAAGCTCTTTCCTCCAGATAATTTTACCAGTTTCTTGGTTAACACCTGTTAATATCTTTTTACTAATCGTCAGCAAGAGGTGAGGATAGTCTTTAGGAGAATGAGAGTCGTAAATCTCTCCTCCTAGTGTTTGGATAAACCATTCATTTCTCCCAACTTCATGCTCGTAGATCCCATATGCTTGGAGACAAACAATCGCAAGGATAAGTAATATCCACGTGTTCTTAGCCATTTTCAAAATTTATGATAACTTTTGGGGTTTTGGGGTTTTGGGGTTTTGGGG